CCTGGGTTCAATCCCTGTTACCAAAAAAAAGTAACAACAACCCATTCTCTTGAGAATTGGGATAAGACCCAATGCATTCCACAAGACCAGATTAATGCCTTCATGAGAATAGAGCTCCATCATCTTATTGCCTTCCAGGAGGCCTCATCTTTTTTTAAGATTCCACCACTTCAAAACCGTTATTGTGGGGACCAAGCAACTAGCACATGAACCTCTATGAGGCAAACCACATTCAAACCATGGCAATGAACAAACTAAGAATTTTAGCAGATATCAGCAAAATTCCCTCTCTATAATCTTAATCATCAGGTACCTTGAGTCTCCCACTTCCACACCTCCTGCTACAACATTAATTCAAGCCATCATTACTTTTCTGAACTATAACAGTCCAAGTAATCCACTTCCAGTTTCATTCCTTCTCAAATCCAGTCTCCACAGTTCATTCCACTCTATATCTATCATCCAAATCTAATTTTATCACCAACAACTAAGTTGGTATTTTTTTTTTTCAAACTGCACAGGTTTGTCCCAAGATATATCTGAGCTCCCTAAAAAATTTTACTTTTATTAGTTTGTGAAAATAATTAAAATAAGCATCTTTTAAATGGTTGACAACTTAAGGTACAGTCATATATAATCCACCTCACACCAAGATAATTCATGAAAAATGAATAAGAGATTTAAAAAATTGATTCCATTCAAAAGAATATGTTGTTTTGTTTTTCTAAATACATGTGATGAAAGAACTGTCTTCCAAGCTTGTTATTCCAAGCTGTTAGTAGGACTGTCAAGCCAAAATCAAAATTGTTCTGTACCATATTCATATCATAAGCAATTTGTAAAATACATCATAGGTCACACTAATGTTAGAGAACTTCATTATTATTAGTTTTGTCATTTTAATTTATAAAATTTTCATGTTGTCAAGAGCTGGAAACACAAGGAATTTGGTCTATATTTACACATCTGAAACATTAAAATAAGAATTTCTAGCAATAAAACCAAACTACTTTAAGTTCCCTAAACATGTCTTGATCCAGAACCACTATACTCTTCTTTATACAATCCTACAGTGTTTCAAATTAAATTTTCTTAGAAACTATTACCTTGCTTCTAATCTCCATTTTCTTCCTAAAATATCAAGTCTTATTTCTGAAAACTTGAAACATTTCCTCTTTGAAAAATCAAAACCTGCATAAATGCCTACACATTATTTAGCTTTTGGAGAGAAGAGTATATTGCTTTATTCACACTGAGAGGCAAAGCCCTAGAAGTGTGCTCTATAATACTGTTGCCATTAGGCACATGTGGCTATTTAAATTTAAAGAGAACACTAAAAATACAGTTTTTTAGTCACACTAACAGTGTTACTCAAAGTCACGTGTGGCTATGGCTATAAGATTTCCATCATCACAGAAAATTCCACTGGATATGATACTCTATAACTTCTTCTTGGAATATGCTCTTAAAAAGCTGCTAGTGACTTTGAATACCATTTCTGAGTTGATGACCTTGAAATCTTTCTGTAGTTTTTTTATTAACCCAATGTAATATCATCAGGAACTTACTTGAGAGTTCAACCCACTTTGTCAGTTGGTGAGACAGGAATTACCTAGAAATAATTATAGCCTTGGCAACAAGATCAATAAGACATAACATAATCAAGAACGGAATTGATTTTCAGGGTAAAGTTAAGATTGAGTTTCAGACAAGTAGAAATGGATACTGAAAAACAGTAATATCTATTAACCAAAAAACAATGCCCATTTCATCCCACTCACCCATCCTAAAATAATTAAAACACACTCTGCAAGATCTTCAAAAGTTATCTTTCCAATCACGCTTCAAAATATTACTAATCACCAGTAAACTCACCTTTGATAATGGAAGATACATTAAGATCCTGGCTTATAATTAGTCAACTTAAACTGTAAGTTAGCCTGTTTCAAAGTTTATTTGTTGACTATATCTCTAATTCTTTAAAAAATTAAAAAAAAAAAAAAACCTGAAAAACAACACAATTAATGATGTGCTTGGGCTAGGCTTATAACTGTATAGGAAATCACTACCTCAGAGTTCTGTTAATAATTTTAAATCTCACAACTTTCTTTATATTGTACTATCATAATTTAAAAGACATAATTCAGTTTATTTCGCTACACATATTTTCTGTCTCATTAGAGATGTTTAATGTTGGTGTTACTCCAAAAGAGAGCTTACTTTAAAAAAAATGAAAAACTCCACTTTATGACTATGTAACTAAAATAAATTCACACACAAAAATAAGACTATGCCTCAAAAAATTCACATAGGAAGTTTCAGAAAACAATGAAAATGAAAGCCATTTCCAAAATAATGTCTGCTACATTAATTTATTTAGTACACTTTTATTACTACTATAATTTTCTAGAATTAGGTGGATATTAAATAAACATTTATTAAGTACCTACCGTGTGCTAGGCTTTGGATTAAATATACAAAAACAAAAAGACATGGTGCCTGCCCTCATGGAGCTCACAGTCTAATTGAAGCAGACAAAGTCACAAATACAATGGCAAAGCATCAGGAAAGCATTATGGAAGAAGGAATTATTCTGCCTGGAGGATGCAGGGCAGGCTTCCCAGAGATGGAGACAATGGAGCTGGGCCTTGGATGAGGAGGAGTTCGCCAGATGGAAGGGAAGGGGGAAGCACATTCCAAGCAGAGGAAACAGCATATGAGCAAGCAGAATCTTGAAAGTGCATGCCATGGTGCAGGATGATGAGTGGTCCAGCGCAGCTAGAGCAGAAAGGTGCACACAAACTAAAGAGACGAATTAGTTTTGGGTTTTTAATAAACTATTAACTGTCAAGGAAGTAAATCTTCACATTATACTAAGTGTAGCTAAACTGTGATTGTGGAAACAATAGGATAATTTGAAGGCTTTCTGTTCATTTCGTAAATATTTGAGCCCCTTCCATAGGTAGAGTCTGCACTGTGATTAGAATTTCCAAAAGGCAGTTTCAGAAATATGATTCTTAATTTTCTTTTATACATTTAAGAAGCAAAATAAATCACAGCTTATAGGCATATCACCTTCACATATACATGGTCCCAACTTTTGCTAACTTGAGCTCCCTATTCTCCTACCACTATCTTTCATCCTTCTTAATATCTTCATAACTATTAACTCAAATTAACCCCATAGTTAAGCAATGCAGAAACAGTTTAATCTCCCCTTCCCATTCTGCCTCTCTAAACAAAAATGCCAATGCCCTATGGAAATCAATATAAGACATCATGTGAGACAATGTATTCTGCGCTCCATATCAATTTTTAGAAATCAACTATCATAAAACAAACTATTAAGCTGAATTATTAATAAAAATAAGTATGAAGCAAAGGCCCCATGCCCTTCCGAAAAAGTTAAAAACACAGGGAAGAAGACAGCTTAGGTCAGAAAGTTTACTACACTGGACACCAAGTAACACTGTTTGCCAAGGTAGCTTAATGCTCAGGTAGATGGCAGCTTAGAGAAGGGTCAATGGGGAAAGGAAAAGAATTAACTTAGGTTAAATCCTTGGCTAAATGTTTTTACACAAATGTCCATGTGTTTCTCACAATTATGCTAAAGGAAAATTTTTCTTACCTTGATTTTACAAATGAGAAGCCTAAAGCGCTCAAAAGTTAAGAAAGTTGCCTAAGCCTGTATCTACCAATAAGGAACAGAGCCAGTCCACCAAAACATGCCTTCAGAATCCTAAGTCCTTTCTACTCTATCACACTGCTTCTGGATTCCTAAAATCCATTCAGGACTCCGAAGACTGCAGAATTATAGCAGTCACATGCAAAGAAAGAAAAAAACCTGACTTCTCCCTCCATTTCTTTCAAACCAGTGGTGTGACATAATGTGGTTATAGAAAAACAATTTAACAACTGATAATCAACTTATTAAAATCATCCACTTAGGCATCCACAATGGTGACTTTAACTTCAACTCCTGGCTTACTGATGGAAGTAATCTGGTTAAACAATATCAGTAAAGGCTGGAGGTATCCTCAGCGGCAGAGTGCTTCCCCAGCATGTGTAACAACACCCTGGGTTCAATCCCAGCACCAGAAAAAATAAAAACAAGAAAAACAATCTCATAAGTACTACACAAGGCAATGGGCAACTTGTGGGTTTTATGTTTATAGTTGCTCTTGAAGAAAAAGAAAAATATTGGGTTTTTGAATATAATTTAACTGTTTACATTGCTATACAATAAACCATCAACCAACAGCTCAATAAAATTCAGAGCTAATGGAAAAAAAACTGCAATCACAGTTCTAGGATGAGATTATGCCCAAGAGTCAACATCTTCCAAAAGTCAATATAAAATTGCCCTTCCTCAAACTTTGAACCTGAAAATTACAATTATGAAGTATGTGGTAAGGATATTTCCACACATTAAAATTTTTCCTCTTTTTAGGCAATAAGAATTTTGCTGGGCATTTTTGTGGTTTTTTGTTTTGTTTTATTTGTTTTTGTAGTACTAAGGATTGAGCCCAGGAGAACTCTACCATTAGGCTACATCTTCACCTTTTTCTGTTTGTTTTTGAAACAAGGTCTCACTAAGTTGCCTGGAACTTTCAATCCTCTTATCTAAGCCTCCTGAGTTGCTGGGATTATAGGTGTGGGCCATTGCACCCAGTTTTTTTAAAAAAAAAAAAAAAAAAGTGGACAATTAATACTAACAAAGAAATCTTCTGTAAATAGAATCCAAATGGATCAAAAGGTGTAATATATACTGGCCTAGAGAAATACTGAAATGTTTTCTACTTTGCATGATGTACTTAGGTTCTCTCTGTGTAGGTACTGCTGAATAACAGGAAAATAATCAATTTATAAGTCAAAGAGTTTTGCTGGGAGAGGAGGGAACAGAGGTTCAGATGGCCAAAATTTCAGTCATTAATACAACATAAAATACTCTTTGGGGAGCATATGAAATAGCATATAGGTACAATAATAAATTAACCAACCTTATTTTGATTAAGAGGATCATTCCGCAGTCTCTGTTTGTTCTTCTGTAATTTACTAGGCATCATCTTTCCAGTTCTGAAGTCGAAACTACTGAGGTCAACCGTATTTCCCAGGTACCTTGCCAACTGAGGTTTGCTTCTGAATTTCTTCCCACTTGGACTAGAAGAAAGATAAAATTAATTGTACAAAAGCAGTAGTAATAGATATCTATATAAGTCTTTCCTTCATACTTTCCTTTCTGCCCCCAACGTTGCTACATTAAAAAAAAAATTTTTTTTAAGAAACTTTCTAACTTCATTAGAAAAAGAGACAATGTGTCATCTAATATAACACTCTCTTAGATGCACCACTGGGGCATATAACAGATGTTGCTACAGATTATCCCACTAGTCACTCACCTAGTAACTGCCAGAGAACCCAAAGAAGCTGCATACATAGAACAGCATGCACAATGCAAATTGTCTTCAAAATTACAAACTTACTTTTCAACTTAACTTCTGAAAATGCTGGGGTTTTTTTCAAAAGTATTTTATACACACACACACACACACACACACGCACACACTATACACACACAAGTATAACCAGTATACACACACACACACACACACACACACACACATATGTGTGTGTGTGTGTGTGTGTGCCAAGAGCAATCAGAAAAAAAATTCTGATCAAATTCTGAAATCAATAACCCTTTTTAAACACTACTCACAACCTCAAAGACTCCATATTGTCTGATCTGAGCATATAACATTTATAATAGGAAACCCTTGAATTTTGACATTTTAAATGTTCCTAGTATAATTATTAAAATGACCAAAAAAAAAAATCTCAGGCCAACATCTGTTTATACAATGCTGACATTAGTTTTGCTAGCCAAATTCCTATCTTGGGAGTAAGAAATATTGCCAAAACTGGAAAACTATAGAAGTGTCAGAATTATGAGGAAAACTAATCATTCCTGAAGTTTTTCTTGTAAGAAATTAATCTGGAAGAAATTTTTTATAGAAAGAATGCCCTCAAAGTCTTATCTAATAAATTTCCTGAACCAATTGTATAGTCATTGTGATAAATCACCAGAAAAAAAATTGTGAGAATTTCAGAAAAACTCTAAAAGAAGTCAGCATATCTTATTTAAAAACTAACCTTGTACCCACTAATCACTATAAAATAAAGTCAACAGAAAGACAAAAACAAAAAAACTCTGAGAAATCAACAATAAAATATTCCCCTGGAACAATAAAACAACTCTTTGGGTCAAGTTTAAACCAGTATACACCACTTGTCACATTCTACAGTATTCTGTCATCACAAACTTTAAGACAAATGAAGATCTTATCAACATTGCTTTTCCACAATCCCATGACTAAGTATTCCTGATACCAAATTCAAGATCTATAGAATTCAGTTAACAGATAAAAGATAACAAGGGCTGGGAGTGTAGCTCAGCAGTAGAGCTCTTGCCTAACGTGTAAGGCTCAAGGTTCAATCCCCAGAACTGCAAAATAAAAATAATAAAAGCAGATGGAAATAAAAAACAGAACATAATGGAATAAAACAAAGGAAGTAACATCCAAAATACACCAAGGGGCAGAATACAGGATCATATATAGCAAATTTCTAACATTAATTTCCAAAATGTTCAGTAACACAAAATAGCAAATAGCTTTCAATATTGTCTAAAACTTGAATCATCTCTGCCCACCACATACTTCTACCCCAAAACCTCATCTTCTGCATTCTCATCTATCAGCAGCATCAATGTCCACCCAGTACCTAATCCTCCAATCTAGACAGCCACATCACAATTCTTCACTGTTCCCCTCCATCAGCCACATAACCAGTACCAAATTCAAGTTCTAAATGTTCAGAGACTCCTCAGCGCTGACAAAATAGTTTCACATCCTTAATAAGACTTTTAAAAGTTTTTAATATTTACTTCCCAGATTCTTTTCCTACAAGCCTTGGTGCTGTGATTCTAACAAAGTCACCAAAATATGTCATACACCTTTGTTGTTCCAATCATGCCAACATGTCACCTCTCTTCATAAGCCTTCTATTACTCTCCAATTCAAGTTTAAAATAATTTTACTAACCTCTGCAATACTTATTTGTTTGTTTATTGGTACTGGAGATTGAACCCAGGGGTGCTCAACCACTGAACTACATCCCTTTTTACATTTTATTTAGAGACAGGATCTCAATGAGTTGACTTGGGCCTCACTAAATTACAGAGGTTGGCTTTAACTCAAAATCTTCCTGCCTCAGTCTCCTGAGCCACTGGAATTACAGGTGTAAGCCACCACACCCAGCTCACAAGTCTATTTCATTACAATCTCTATACATTTCCTAAATGAGTCCAACAACCAGAAATTATGTCACATTTTTTAAAATTTTTTTAGCTCTCAATGGATTTTTATTTATTTATATGTGGTGCTGAGAAATGAACCCTGTGCCTCATTTCACACATGCCAGGCAAGTGCTCTACCCCTGAGCCATGACCCCAGACCCTGATGCCACTTTTTGAAACCCTCAAACATCATACGCAAGATAGTACTGAACAAGGTAACTTTCTGAGAGCAAGAAACCATCAACTGAATAAGAAAGGATGTGGTTTTCATTTGCAGACACAATGAAATGATAAACACCATGCTTACTTAAACATTACTTTGCATGAAATTTTGAAAATTAAACTGGAAAATATTTTTATGGTTAGTATGTTATACTTCAAAAGAAATAGAATAGTAATAAAAGATCCAAACRAATTTGAAGTTGGTGAAAATTTCTCTGCTCTTAGGTCACTTATATAATTATTATTTTAATTAAGCTAGACTACTCACGTAGCCTTTATAATCAGATGTTCAAATTACTAGTAAAGAGGATTCTGATAAACTGTTCAATATGCTTCAAAAATAAAAACAAAAAAATCTCTCCACAAAATAAAATGACAAGTTTCAATCAGGTTTCCCTCAAAAGATCTCTGTAGTGCAATAAAAAGGTGAGCTCAGGAGTAGACCCTGATTTGACTGACAAATTTTCCAGAAGGAAACATTCAGGCAGCAACTTTTGCCAAAAAGATAAGCACTACTGATTTTGGCATGTAGTTGTAATAAGTAATTTTTTTACGTAACAGCTGAAATGTCAAGTACCTATTGCATCTGAAACCCTACTAGAGCCTCACTACTACACTGCTCTATGGAACAAAAATCATGTGAGAAATATCCATTTTCGACACCTCTCCCTCAAGCCAAGAAAATGTAAATAGGTACCTAAGAAATCCACAAGCTATATTGGGCTGGGGCTGCAGCTCAGTTGTAGCTTAGCACCATGCATGGCCCTGGGTTGGATCTTCAAAGTCAAAAAGACAAGCAAAGGTGTATTAATGAAATGTGATTCCATAAATCAAGGACCAAAATTAGTAGTTTAACATGGCTTAAAATCATTCCAATGTTTACTATTTTTTAAAATATCAAGGCATTATTTTTTAAAAAATGCCTGACATACTACACAAATAAATTATTAATGGAAAAAAAAAGGTTCAAGTCAAGTTTTAACTACTGGCATATCCAAAAGCATTTGACTATCAACTGACAACTAGTACATTCCTACTCATTCTGAATTACTACCTCCTATGACTAAAAAATAGAATTCTATGAAGCATTTGTATTTGGACAGCTATAGTAATTTGTCATGCATTAAATGCTGTCTTCAGGAAAAAAAAAATACAGAACAAGCCAGGCATGGTGGCACATGCCTATAACCCCAGCAACTCTGAAGGCTGAGGAAGAAGGATCCCAAGTTTGAGGCCAGCCTCACCAATTTAGCAAGACCTCTCTCAAAAAAATAAAAAGGACTGGGAATGTAGTTCAGCAGTAAAACACTCCTGTGGCTCAATCATCCCCAGTACCAAAAAAAGAAAAAAAGAGAGAGAGGAGAAGGAGAAAAAACAGAACTAGCCATCCTCTCTTCTATGACTACTCTAACTTTTGTTCAGTTCTTTAAGAAGAGTCAGCCTAGCTTCCCCAAGAAATGTTAAGACCAGAGACCTTGCTCTGAAGGAGATGAAGACAAGCAACAGAATACAAGACTCAGGGTACAGTTCAAAAATAAATCTACCCATGAGATACAGACCATCTGCATAACTGCAGACTGACCCTGGAAGTCAAAAACTGAGGACATAAGCTCTGGTCTGACCCAGAACGATTAAGTTACCACCCAACTGCCCTCTAAGATGACTGTTCTAGGTCCCAATCTCAGAAACACCAGGACTTACAAAAGTGACTGTTACTTATTCTTAAAGTATCAATTCATAATGTGAGGAAATTATTTTTTTAAGTCTAGTAGTTTGGTGAAGGATATTAGTCATTTTCAGCTTTCTCTGCCCAAAGTGATTACTTCTAATCCCAGTAATAAAATACTGTTTCACTTTCAACCACATAGAAAAATTCCCTGTCAACTGCCCTTTTGATATGCCATTCCTGAACTAACACCTTTGTGATCACACCTTTAATTTCTGCTACCCATTATTAAAATACCCTAAAGACAAGGACTAATAGAAAATCAAAATTGAGTTGTATTTTTCCAGTTCATATAAGAACACTGAGCCTTGCTTCATTTCAATTAAACTGTTTAAAGCAATTCTTTTTTTTTAAGAGACAGAGAGAGAGAGAGAGAATTTTAATATTTATTTATTTTTTAATTTTCGGCGGACACAACATCTTTGTTGGTATGTGGTGCTGAGGATCAAACCCAGGCCGCATGCATGCCAGGCGAGCGCGCTACCGCTTGAGCCACATCCCCAGCCCTGTTTAAAGCAATTCTTAAACCCAACTCCATCTTAGGGTATCTTTATAAATACAAATTCTCAAAAAGAAATTTTATCTGATGTCAAACTTTCAGATCTAAAAAAATGCAACCAAGACACCAGAATACTTAAACTAGTCACCTTAATTTAGTGGTATTCATACTTTTTAATCACACTGTGGACTTACCTGTCTTCATCACTGCCTGAGCTAGACAACTAAGTTGCCAGATGTATGACATAAAAAATATATCTTCAGAAGACCTGCTTTGTGTATGTGAAATGACAGTCTTCAACTATCCCTTTAACATAAAAGTTCCAACACTAAAAATTCTACAGCATCGGAAATTTGAGA